CATTCTTTTAGATTTCTTCAAACGGTCTTCAAATCTTTTCGTCTTCTAACCACCACGTGAGAAAAGAATCCTCGGTTGAGGTAAGGGAGAGAAATAGATTTACAACAAGAGTTTATGAGATAAGGCACGACACGCAGGCCGTATTATAATCAAATAAACTATAGCCACAATCATCCACCATGCATATCATACATCCACACAAGCAATAGAGATATACATACACCAAGTGAACCGCGCTCACCCCAGACAGTTCTAGAAAAATACTACGGGAGTAAATATTTTCTAAAACTCATAAAATTAAATTAGATGTCCAAATAAATCTAATAAAATTTTATAAAAACCATTTTATGCATTTTGGATATTCTGCCAGCAGAAAAAAAATCCAGAATATTCCAATTGACCAAAATGCCCCTTTTGCAAAATTATTTTCAATAAGGCAATAAAATTTCAAAACAATTTTGCAAAACTCATGAAAATTAAATTTCAACTTCCAATAATTATTTTCAACATTTATAAACCTGGAAATAAAATTTCCAAAATTTATAAATCATTATTTCCAAAATATATTAGTTAAATCTCAATAAGTTATAAAAGGACATTTAAATTATTTTCAAAAACATTAAATTATAAAAATTTAATATTTTGGAAAACATTCTTTTTCTTACTGAGATATAACTTTACAAAATATATATTAGTCATTTAATGTAATTAAAATACAAATATATAAATATATATATAATATTTCGGTAATAAAACCGAATACATATATAAATATATATTTATTTAATTACTAACTAATATTATCTTGTAAAATATATTTGTCAACAACATTATTGAACTTAGAAATAATATTTCCAAGTTTAATAAAGTTCATTCTGAATTTTCCATATTTATTTTCGGTTTTCACCTAAATAAATACAATAAATTCAAAATAGGAAATAATGTATTCAAAAATTACAATATAATTTTATCAATCATAAAATGATGTTTTATGTCCAAATAAAATTATATTTACTATTTCTACAATATATATAACTATATATTTCGAAAAATTAAAATATATATATTTATATATATATTACGGGTAGAAATAAAATAAATAAATTTAAAATTCATTTTCAATGATTTATTTAAGTCCAATACTTATTCCAAGACTAAATAAAATCATTTTACCAATTTTTGAATTTTAATAATTACCAAGTTAAAACGTTGACTTTTAAAATTTTAAAAGTCAAACGTAAAACTATAGTTTTGTACGTTGGTTCCGATACCACTGAAAGGTAACCATGCAAGGATAGGCAGCGGAATAAAAAAATTTTAACATCCTAACATGATTATCTTGCCCAGAATCACGTACTAAAACATATAGTGAGTAAGAAATTTATACCTTTCTCCGTAAGCTGTAAAAACGAAGAAGTCGTAGGAAGAGCGTTGAAAGTGCAAACGTAACCGTTCAAGCGTCCGGTCTCCAACTTTGACACACGAACAACGCCGGAGTCTACCACAATATTTATGCTAGTAATGATTATAGTAGTATAAAATATAAAGATTAAAATTGGGATAATAATAATCTTGTATATTTCTATAGAAAATATTTCTAATAATATTTAGAAAATATTATAGATATTTTCTATACACAAAATGATATTAATGGAACCAAACTAATATATTTCTCTCTCTTAAATGGTATGGCCGAATAATACCAATGCTTAGCTAATGGTGTGTATGGTTTTAAATAAAGCATGATTAGTAATTGATTTTGTCATTAGCTAAATGACAAATCAATTAGCCTACTCAAAAATCAATCAAAGGAAATAATGATCCTCTTCAATCCCATATGGCCGAACAAAAGATTTGTGATTGTGAGAAGGATTTTCAAAATTCTTCTCCACTTAAATGTTCAAAGTGTATTTTATTTGACACCAAAAATTAATATAAAATTAATTTTAAATCAAATAAAAATACCAATATCATTTTTTAAACAAGTATACAAATATACTTTAAATAGTTTATGTCAAAATAATTATTTTCATAATTAAAATGACAAATCAAAATAAAATATTCAACATATAATATATATATATATATTAATCGGCACATATATAATATATATAACCAAATATTTATATATATTATTATATTCCAAAATATTTTATTTTACTATTTTACAAATATACAAATTACTTATTATCCCATTGTTTAATCCTACTCCTTAAATTGTTCAAAGTGTGTGACCCGTATAGGCACTTATAAAGCTGGCCACAGTATTGGCTCTGCACCAATACTATAAGCAATAAGCGGTATCTAGCAACACATTATTGCCCCCAGATTATAAGTTAAGACGTTTGCACCGTCAAAACCTTTCCACGACTCAGACTCCGTGTAACTGTATCCCTTTGTCTCAATGTCTA